TAAAGCGCCAAGGCATGGAGAAAGTGCTCACTCCTTATTGTAAGTTATGACGAAAAGCTAGCAAACACTTCTTAAACTACTTTTGGTAAAGTTTTTACAAAGGAATGAAACAACTTAATTCTCAGTCTAAATTTTTATTAGAATGTTGATTTAATTAAAAATTTAAACAAAAATTTAAAAATTCTAATTGCATAAATTAAATCTCATTTTCAGGTGTGCTAAATCAATACTAACTTTACTATTTTTCCCTCCCTCATACATTTATAACTGACAATAAGAGAGTTTTTGATGTTTGATAATTTTTTAAGGTCCTGGAACAATTGCAATTTCTCCTATTTATCATTAAGTTCACTGTCATGATTTCAGTTTGCATGGTCGTTTTTACTGTCCTGCATCATTGTGCAAAGGGAAGACTGCCTGTACGTCAGTCTTGGCTCCCAATCTGGAAGCCATATTTAGCTCAGTGGTAACTCTTCCCCACTGCCATTGTATGAAATGTTGTTTATATATTGTAAAGCACAAATCAGAAGTTAGGCATTACTAGTATTTTGTAAGCAACACATGTGGATTCAAATCCCAACTATGCCATTTAGTAGGAGTTTATTCATCCATAAAACCAGGCTGAGTTCCTATCTCCTAGGCTTGTATTTAATTAAAAGAATTATGTAAAATATTTTAAAAGGTTTGATAAATAAAATTAGTTTACTATGGTTCTACTTGGCTCCACTTATTTCACTCCACCATAAGTTATCGAGCTCCTAATGTGCATCAGGCACTGAGGATATAGACACGAAAGAGCCACTGTCCCAGCTTTCTGGGAATTCACAGTGAAATAAATGTTAATTCAAATTCAGTATTCAAAGAGTTATAGTAGAGCGATGTGTTTAGTAAGGTTGAGGTAAGAGGTAATGCAACGTTAGTCTTTCAGATGATGGGAAATTCCATTGTGGGCTCTTTCTCTTATTTCCTGGGTGACCACACACCAAGTGAAGGAACCTCTCAGAGCCTCACCGTAACCATCTGTAATATGGACATAGCACCTTTCACATTACAAATAGTTCAGTTGGAGTTTTAAAACAGTTGTTTTTCTTTTCCATGCCTATGGCACAGTGCTGGACACAAAGAAACTGCTCAACAATATCTAACATTTATTGAGCAATTACGAAGTGCCAAGCACTGTTCAAAATTCTTTAGTGTATGAAGTAATCTAATCTTCACAAGAACTCTACAAAAGAAGTTAACTACTATTCCTACCTAGCAAATTTGGAAGCCGAGGCACATGGAAAAAGTTTCATTTTCTTTCTATAAAAAATGGCCCATCCTTTTTATCGAGAGGTAAAGAACGTGGGCTCTGTAGGCAGACCAAACTGTGTTGGACTACTAGTTCCCCCACTTACTAGCTATGTTAAATTGGGCAAGTTTTGCTTAAACTTTAAGTCCCAGTTTCCTCATGTGTAACAATACTCACCACCGGGAAGTTGAAATGAGAATTGAAAACGTCTGCACATTGGGTAGAACATCATAAACGCTCAATTGGTGGGATTTCGTGATAGTTACTCCACTTAAAAAGAGAAGGCGTCTACGTTTAGCAGGGTCAGGCTGGGGGTACTCCTTATAGGTCAGGACCGCACAAGCTCAGCATCAGAGCTGACAGGACGTTACATCAACCCTTAGTATGAGCAGAAGAAACAAGATCGCAGATCCCACCATCCGCCCTCTCGCCCCTTTCACCTTTGCCCCCCTTCTCCTCTTCCGACACAGTCTCAAACCCGAAGTGCGTTTCCGTTGCCCGCTTCTCTTGGGAAAAGGGTCGTGCACCCAGCGGGCCGCTGGGCCAGCAGCTACGAAGCCAGGGAAGCCTGCAGCCCGGCAACACCGGCGACCACCCACGGCCGCAGAGGCCCCATACAGCCAAGCTCCTGGGGGCCGCCATCTTGATAGTCGGGTGACCGCCGCCAGACAGTACGCCGTGTTGCATCACTCGATGGCTGACGGTGGCCGGCCGGAGACATTATTAGCCGAACGCGTCCTGAAACCTGATATTAAGGAGCTTAGCACGATCTCTGGGATCCGGAGTCTATTTAGCCTTTGAATACCCCAAATCCCTTTCTCTCTCTCCCCCAAATTGAATATAGAATTCACCAGGAGTGAGCGGACCTTAGGGAGAGCCCCCAATCACCTCTCAGAGGCCTGAATCTTGCCAACCTTAATACTAACTCTCAAGATACCGGTAAAATCTTGTTTTCTGGTGCAGAAGAGGGCAAACGGAGGTACGGTATGGTAAAAGGCTAAGAATACAGGGTTAATTCTCTCCCAGTCTTTGGTGTGCATAATAATCACCTGATTTGATCTTTGAAGTGCAGATTCCTGGGTCCCAAATACCAGAGATTTTGAATCAGTACATGTGGTATGGATACTGGGAGTCTATTTGATGAAACTTTCCATGCAAGGGATTTACAGACCAATCTTGAGAAACACATGCTAGATTACTCTGAATAATAAACACAGGAAAGACTATCTTTGGTCTTTGTATTTTATGAACCTAGGAATTTCATAAATGGGAAGGAAAGCTCTATCTATCTGTTTAGTAAGTCACAACCAGACACAATTCAGCCTTCCTCTCCTGCTATTACAAAGCTACATTTCTAGCTCCAGCTGGCAGGCCATGAATGTTTTACTTCAAACCCAGATTTTCCTGTTCTTTTGTGTGGAATGGGTAATGTAGACCATCTTGCACAAGAAAGGATGGAGGTGGTGAGTTTTACTTGGATTTCTGTATGTTTCTGCTTTAATTCTCTTTAAATATATGTTTCCTGTAAATGTTTCACAAAGAGAGAGTGCCAAAGACCCTACGAAACTATTTTGAAAATGAAAAATCTCTTCTTGGCTTAATGTAG